CCCCCCCCACCTTTCCACTTCTGCAAAAATGATCTATTAGGAGGACTTACTTCATGCGAAGTGCTTAGTTAGGTAAGCCATGGAGGTGCTGCTGTCAGGTTCTCTGGGCTCCAGAGGAATTTGCAACAGGAGAACAGGGTAGGAAGGAGCCCAGGGACCCCGCCCTAGGTACAGGCAGCTTGCGCAACCACGGAGGAACCTTACCCCTGAGCTGCCAAACCAAAGCCACAGGCACGGGGTTGTGTGCGGGGGCTGGAATTCCAGCGCTAGCTCCTGATTCCGGAGTCATGAAGTCATCCCTAACCAGGGCTTAACCCCTTCTGGCTCCCACCCCCATGTGTGCCAGGCCGGCAGCAGAGAGTTTCTCCTCCTGTAGGAAGGGGTGTTGCCTGCCCACTGCTGCCTTCCTCCCAGCCTGACCCTGCTGCTCCCTTCCAGGAATCCAGCATATGCCCTCCTGGGGGTGGAAGAGGGCTGGATAGTCAAGTTCTACCCGCCTCTCCCCGGAAACCAGTGGAGGGGAGGACAGGAAGCTCCTGGGCTTCTCCTGAGATGGTAACCTTGTCTTAGGAACTGATATTCCTTCTCAGGCTCCCCCCTGTGTCACTGGCAGTCTCCGCTGGGTGAAGGACAGCCTGGGGCAGGCAGAACTGGCTTCTTTTCCTTTGTGAGCTATGTAGGCTAACTTGCTGTGTGAACTTGGGCAAGTCACTGCCCTGTTTGGGGTCAGATCTCTCAAATTCTGGAACACAGGAGGACAGGACGTCCCTGGCCTTTCCAGGTGGTATTCTGTGGTTTTGAGCAGAGCCCCGACCTCCTGCAGTTAGGGGCTTTGAGCAAAATGATGAGAATGTGTTGGGGAAGGGTGTGTGTTGAACTTAACTGAAACCCTGACTCTTCTGACAAATAGACACTTTAATATTTGAATTAGAGAAATAATGAGCTTGGTCCAGGGCTGCTGTTCTGTGGGCAGACAGAACCTCAGCTTAGGAGCTAAGAGAAAGGATGGTAGGCATTCTAAATCCTTCCCCTGCCCTCTTGAACTTGAGGGGATGGGGCTGATGTACTTGTAGGACCTTGGGAAGGTTCTTGGCCTCTCTGTACCTTTGATACTTTCCTCTTGAAATTTCTCAGCGGGGGTGGACCTAAGATTCTGCTGTGACCAGCTGGGTCCCCATGGGATAGGGGCTGAGTGACACTTCTGGGTACTGGAGTAGATGGTCCATGAGGGCAGAAACGGTGCCTCACCATGTCCTGCACGGTGTTGGCAGCAAAATAGATCTGTGGGAGACGTTTGGAAGACTAAAAACAAGAGTGCGCTTATGTACTCTTGAGTCACTCGGCCTGGGCAGCGCCCTGACCTGAGGCTGTTTTGGGTGTGGGTGAGCCAGCCTTGCCTGTCCCAGCCCAGTCTGACTCAGCTGGGAAAGGTGTCCCAGGCTGGGCAAGACCAGAGCCAGCAGCCCTCTCTGCCTCAGCGGCATCTTAGAACCCTGGCATAGCGTATCCTCCAGTCGGCATGGGTGGGTGGGATCGCTGGCTCTAAAGTCAGGCAACCCTACATGGAATCCTCAGTCCTCCATCGGCTACTTGTGTCACCAAAAGAAAATAATTCCATGTCTTTAATGCCCACTTTCCTCCCTTGTAAAATGGAGTTAAAGACATGCCTTTAGAGTTATTAAGAACAGGGCCTGGCACGTAGCAAGTGCTTAGTAAATAGTACCTAGTACTCTAGTGATATTCTGATTATTACTACCTTTATTATTTTTATTAGCCCAGAATGGGATAAAGACTTGCCAAAGGTCACACAGCAAGTTAGGAGCCAGGAGGCGTCTAAGCCAGGCTCTGGCTTGGTCATTTCCCAGCACCCAAGTTTACCTTCTCGAATGCCTATTTTTTTGCTTTTTGTGGCTCAGGGGCTGTTGTAGACCATTATCGGGGCTATTGGCTGAAATGTCTCCTTGTTTTACCCTAGATTCGAGAGACTGAGGTCATCGATCCCCAAGACCTCCTAGAAGGCCGATACTTCTCCGGAGCCCTACCAGATGATGAAGATGTGGCAGGGCTGGGGCAGGAACCTGATGACTTTGAGCTGTCTGGCTCTGGAGATCTGGGTATGGAGGGTGTGATGGGCAGGCCTGGGGCACGGGGCTGGAGGGAATATGGCCTCTACTCCTAGGAGGGTGACCACACCTTGAGACTTTGATTTTTGTGGGGATGTAGAGTGCCCCTCTCCCCTCAAATAAGAGGAAACAAAAGTAACTGGATCGGTCGTTTTCCATCCCTGAGACCCTTCCTGGGCTAGTTCTTTGTAACTAGGTTGTCCGAGTACCAGCCTGAACTTGTTCACCTAGGGCACAGTGAGGGTGGGGTGGGGTGGGGAGGAGAACTGATAGAGTATTTGTCTTCCTTTGAAAAGGAAAAAAGACCTGGGGGCCTGCAAGAGCAGAGGTGTGGGAACAAACCCCTGCTTCAGAAGGGGGTAGGAGTAGGTGAAGGTGCCCAGATTTCTGGGGCTGGTGCCTTGCATGGTCTTCTGTGAGTTTCTGGCCCTGGCTGCTGGGCCAGACAGAGCTACTAGGAAACATCCTTCCTATGTGCAGGTGGCGTAATAATTCAAAGTTTGACCTTTGGAGTCGCATAGCCCTGAGTTCAAACTGCCAGCCTATGGCCTCTGAGCCTTGGTTTTCGAGTCTGTAAAATGGGACTAGGAATGATAGTACATCAGTGTTGTGGGGACTGGACTGAGTTGAAGCTTTGTGCACATACCAAGCACTCAGTAATGTGTTTTTTTGGGTTTTTTAAAAAGATTTTATTGGGGAATTGGGGGAGGGGAACAGCATTGGGGAATCAGGGAAGGGGAACAGACAAGTTGCAGTCCTTTTGTTCTTCAGTCTAGTTGTGGAGGACGTCGCTTCACTGGCCCATGTTGGTATTATCATTGTGCTCTTTCTAGGTGAGGTAGTAGCTCACCGGCCATTGGACGGCTGCTCACAGCTGCTCATGGCAGCTCCCAGCAGCCGCTGACCACTCCTGCTGGCTGCCAGCCACTCACGGTAGCTCACGGCAGCCCACTGCAGCAGGGGCTACAGCCTATGCCAACTCACAGCAGCCCAGCTCCAGGTCGAACTGTTGTTCACCATCTTAGCTGTAGAGGGCGCAGCGTCACTGGCCCTCATGTGGGATCTGAACTGGAGCCCTGCTGCTCAGAGCTGGCATCCCAAGCCAACTCTTAACCAACGTACCACTCGGCCGGCCCACTCAGTAATGTTTTAATATTGCAGTTTCTAATGTTTAATATTGCAACCTAGACTCTTGCCTTCCCAAACGAGTCCCCTGGGGATCTTGTTAAAAATGCAGATTCTGGTTCAGTGGGCCCTGAAATTCAGTGTTTCTAACCAGCCCCCAGGTAGTACTGTCAGTTCCTGGATCCACCCACCAGCCATGGCTGAAAGGGGGTGGGTCACTTATCTGGGGGTAACTCACCTTGTACTCATACAGCCTTTCTGACCTTACAGATGACTCAGAGGACCCCAGAATCTTCCCAGAAGTAATCCAGCCCTTGGTAAGTGGCTACATGCTTTGCTTCTCCCCTGCTCCTGTGTGATACCTGTTGAAAAGGGCAGAATACGTCAGGGTCTCACCTCACCTTCAAGAAGGCTTTGATTTGTGGCCCTGGGCTCCTCTGGAGCAGGCGCCACTATGAGTCATGGGTAGACCATCCTCCCTGCAAACATAGCCACTGTCAACACTTAGATGTTCCCAGCCCCTTTTCTGTGGTTGTATATATATTTCCCAACATGAATATCAAATTATAGACACAGTTCTATGTATTGCATTTTTCACTTAGCAGTGGTCATGAGTGTTTCCCCACATAATTAAATGTTCTTCCTACTTTTATAGGATGCATAATTATAGTTCACCCCATTCCCCTGATGGATGGAAAAGTTATAGTTTTTCAACCTTCTGAAATGATAGCACTAACAGCCAACATCTTTCATACAAATCTCTCATTGGCTCCTTAGGACAGAGCCGTAGAGGCAAAACTGCTGTGCTAAAGGGCAAGCAATTTCTGCAGTTTTGCCAAACTGCCCTCCAGAGTTATTTATTAAGCACTTACTGTTGTGCCAGGCCCGATTCTTAGAATACGCACCGAGCAGCAGTGAGTGGGGTCATCTGCTTCCCTGTGCCCTTGGTCACATTATTCATTCCTGTTTTAGGGGCAGATCTACTAGAAAAGCTGCAGGGAGGGATTTGACAGCATAATTGTTGAGGTTGCTGCTAATTGCTGCTTCAGGACCACACGGTTCAGTCGGCAACATGGCGGAGCCAGATTTCCCGGTCCCCTGCCCTGGGTGCCTCCCTAAACGGTGCTGAGCGTTTGTCTCTTCTCCTTTTCCCCCATCCAGGAGCCCTTAGATAACCACATCCCTGAGAGGGCAGGGCCTGGGAGCCGGGTCCCCGCCGAACCCAAGGACCTGGAGGAAAACGAGGTCATCCCCAAGAGGCTCTCACCACCCCTTGAAGGGAACGAGGATGTGTCCAACAGGGTGTCCATGTCCAGCACTGCCCAGGCCAGCAACATCTTTGAGAGAACAGAGGTCCTGGCAGGTAAGGTCCCTGGTCTTCACAGGATACCCCGAAGAGGGGCAGGGCTCAGTGGGAGGTAGTGCTGTAGGCAGGGACACCTTAGCCCATGAGACCCCTTGGTGCTCCTTCTTTACAGCCAGACCCAGGGTGTCCTGGCCTTGACTACACCTGGGGGTGGGGATGGGGGTGGGGGAGAGTTTCTAACTGTGTGCAGCCTGGTGGAGGGGTAGGAAACATTGCAACATCAAAGGCTTCTAAAGAATAGACAAGGTGAGTCATACACTTGCTTTAAGTCCTCTCTTATTTTCAAAGCTTAGGTTTGCTAGCTGGGGAGTTAATTATTAAAAGTTAACATTCTTTGAAAATCTTCCTTGAAAGCCTAGAGGCTCCTTAAGGATTGGGCTGGCTTCCCCTCCCCCTGCTTTATCACCTGTGACCTTGGCTGAGAAGCATTTTGAACCTCAGTGGAGATGAGCCCTATTTCCTCCTGTGTAGATAGATGGGGACTGTGATAACCTCCTTGGGTTGGTGTAATGACTCCATGGAAAATAGATTCTGAAATAACTTGGCAAACTGTAAAGGGCTGTTCTGATTTGTTACCCTAAAATATAATGATGAACAGGCCTAGTGAGCGGGCACCCTGGGCTGGGCCCAGGCTGGGCAACTCCTGTCTCCTGGTAACCAGCTGGGCCAGTAGCTCACAGGAGGCTTGATGTACAGGGAAAGCACTCCCTGTCCTGTCTCCATTAGGATAGATAAAAGATCTTGCCTGCATCTTGCAGGTGAGGTTCCCTGGGAATATAATCCCAGGTGACTTTGGGCCCAGCTCAGACTTGACCCTGGCCTCCTGGTACCTGAGCCAAGCATCGATTTTACTTTTCTTTCGCTACTTTCTGTGTGATACAGGTGGGGTTGAGGGTGCTGTTGGAACTAGAAGGCCCCTTAGAGACCCTTTAGTCTTACAAGTTTCAAACAACTTGGAAGTGTTGTAGAGGTAAAGCCTCCCCCATCTTTCTTCAACCAGTTTCACTTTTAGCTGGCATATGTGGGATTTACATAAAGTTTTGCTTTTACTAACTATGGGTTCTATTGCTTTTAAAGAAAAATGTTTTTTTCTTTGAAACCTTAAACGTGGTTTTAAAAACCACGGATCTAGTATAAAGCAATTTATACATTTCTTATACATGGGGAAACTGAGGCCCAGAGAAAGCAAACCACTTGCTTTCCAAAGTCACAGAACCAGGAAACGGCAGCCCTAGCATTTGAACCAAGGGCCATAGTCCCTTGAGACTGTACTTGAACCTTGATGTTTGTGGGACAGCCCAGCACAGACCTACTAGAGGACCTGGGGTCATCAGAGGGAAAGGTGATGGCGACAAGCGTGGGGTTGATACCTGATAACCCCTGTGCTTTTCCTGGCATCTCCTGGGGGTACTTCGTTGCTGCTTTTTATGGAGTTTTAGCCAAGAAAGAACCTTGCTTGGCTCCTGTGCTCCCATTCTGTGCATGGCTGTGGAGTGTGATGCTGGGACAGAAAATTAATCTTCTTAGCCTGAGTAAGACCGAATTAGGGAACTCAATCTGCCACAGACAGGATTCTGTGAGACATCCCTGCCCCCTCGACAAACAGGATGGAGTGCCGTTCAGGCCACCTGGCCTAGGGCAGAGAACATCCACTCCCCTGAGGTTAGGAGCCCACATCTGCCTGACACTCGCCAGGTGCCCTTCGACTGGGGTCCTCTCTGAGCCAAACTATGAGCGTTATTTATTAAGCACTTACTGTTGTGCCAGGCCTGATTCAGGGTGCTAGGGACACACAAAGAAACCACAGACGTTCACAGTGAATGAGCACCAGGCATCTGCTATGTTATGCACTTCTAAGCACTTTAAGTGGACTCGTGTATTTGATCCTTAGGACAAACATATGACAAAGTTATTTCCATTTGCAGTGGTTGAGATGAAGGAACCTGCCAAAGATCACCCAGTCAGTGAGTAGGAAAGATGGGAGTGGACGCTAGGCCTTAACCACAGAGCTCCATATGTAGGCTCATAAACCACCATCTATGATTATCTGTAACATAGTAGCATGGACATGCTAGTGTGTGACACCTGTGTGTACATAGACATGTAGAGATGTCTGTAGAAGTGTAAGCCAGCATGGGTATGTGTGCACACAGAGACAGCTAGAGGACTGGGGTTTTTCTTGCTTCTGGCTCAGTTAGGGCTAAGCTGCTGTTTAGAGAGAGCTTGGCTTTGGACCCAGGCAGATGTGGGTTGGTATGGTGGCTTTGCCACTCTGGTCCTATGGTCTTCAGTGACTTCTAGTGACCCCCTTCTCGTAAATGAGGTTGTGAGAATCAAATACATCATCAGCCTGCCAGGCACAGGCAGTGGTGACGGTGACGGTGAGGATGTCTAGTTGTAAGAGAACCAGCCGGGCGGGTGAGGGTGGGTATGAACCCCAAGGTCCCCGATGAGCAGTTCTCACCTCGCTGTTCCCTTTTCTCTGCAGCTCTGATTGTGGGCGGCGTCGTGGGCATCCTTTTTGCCGTTTTTCTGGTCCTGCTACTGGTGTACCGCATGAAGAAGAAAGATGAAGGCAGCTATGACCTGGGCAAGAAACCCATCTACAAAAAAGCCCCCACCAATGAGTTCTATGCCTGAAGCTTCCTCCCGGGCACTGGCGTGGACTTGAGTGGGGTGGAAAGCTGAAGGATTTTGGAGGGTGGACGTTAGGGTAGGGGGAGGGCCACCTAACACTGACCTGTCAGCGTCTCCAGCTTGGACTTCATGTTAAGTATCAGGAGAGACATCATCTTTTCTTGATTCTCTGGGCCTCGACTGTCCTAGCGGAAACATGAGGCTAACCTTGGCTTTTCTGAAGGCAAATCTAGGATTGGATCGCTTCTTCATCTTCCAGTTTAGAATCTAGGCCCAGTGTAGAGCCTGTACTGACCATGCCTCCTCCAGAGCCCCTCTGAAGCTGTCGTATGAATCCTGCTGGAGATCTGCCCTCCATCACCTTCCTCCCTCCTGCCCCAACACCCCAACCCCCCTCACAGCCGGTCCCAATGCCAGGAACTGGGAGAAGGACCTCGAACCATCTGCACCTTGAGATATGTCCGTGAAAGAGCGCTTGAGTCCACACTACAGGAGTCTCTGTGGTATTCTTGGGCCATTCTAGGCTCTTCCAAGTGACTTTTTGGAAATCAACCTTTTTTACTGGGGGAGGGAGGGTGAGGACAAACGCTGAAAGCTCATACTGAAATGGATTGGAGAATATTCGTAAATCTATTTTTAGTGGGGTGTTTTTTTTTTTGAACAGTTCATTCCTTTGTGTAGCGCCTCTGCCTGGCCAGAACGCACCGGTGCTGAGGCGTTCTCCGCTCTCTTGCACATTTCCACAGTACCTGCTAAGTTTGTATTTAATGGTTTTATTTTTGTTTTTGTTTCTCTAAAATGAGAGAAGAGCCGGAGATATAATTTTTATTAATTTTTTTTTATTTTTACTATTTATAGCTTCAGACAGGGCCTCTCTTTCCTCTTTTTCTTTAAATCCCCTCCCTATTTTTTTTTTTTTTTAATATATTTTACACTCCTCCGTTCATGACGTTGACCCTTTCTGAAGCTGCTTCCTCTTAAGTAGCTTTTGCTGAGACATAGTTTTCTGGCAGATCCCAAAATATAATGTAAGGGATGGTGGGGATATTTGTGTCTCTTTTCTTGTAATATATTATTCTTCCTTGGTTCTAGAAAAATAGACAAATATATTTTTTCAGGAGCTAGTGTGATATTTCCAATTTAAAGTTGGCTGGGTGGTTGAGTGAGTGAATTTTTATGTGGCTGAGTGGGGTTTTGCCTCTTTCTCTTGCCCCATACCTGGTGCCTTCTTTTCATCGGGCTAGGATAGTTGAGGGCAGATGGTTCCGCCTTCTTTCTAGCTTCTGCATTGAGTCCAGCTGGTATTCCTTCATTTCTCCAAATTTTAGAGAAAATTGGAGAGCTGAGCTAGCCAACACGGCAACCACTAGCCATGGGTGGCTATTTAAATCAATTAAAATTCCATCAAGTTAAAAATCCATTTCTCAGTTACACTAACCACATTTCAAGTGGTCAGTTGCCACACGTGGCTAAGTGGCTGCCGTAGCGAGCAAACAGATAGAGACCATTTCCATCTATTGGACGGCACTGCTGGAGAACGAAACTGGCTTAGCAAGTCACAGCCCCAGCTTCCTTGGGATGACCTTTGTCTCCCTGGGCAAAGGTAGGGTGGGGGTGGGGGTGGGGGTNTGATTTGAACTTGCCAAGCTCACCTATTCGTACACACCGCTTTGACTCTAAGATGGCTGTTGTCTGAAAAGTCACCATCAGATCTGCATTCCTTCGGTGGGGAGGGCTGATTAGGCCCTAGCTCTGGAGCCTGTTACTGTCCACCTTCCCCCTCCAGAGAGAGGTCTGGTGGCATAGCCTGGGCAGGCTGTCTTCTGACCCCACTGGCTGGGGTTCGCGGATATCAATCCTGCTTCCTGCACCCTTCACCCCCAAAACCCAGGGTTCCCGGCTGGCTGGGTCCTCTTCTCTACCAACCCGCCCCGCCCCCACCCCTGAGTCCTTTCCTCTGGCTATGTTGGGAGAGCACCTCTTCGAGCCCCCTCACACTGTTGTCTGTTACTGATTTTTTTGATAAAATAATAAAACCTGGTACTTTCTAGATCTCCTGCCTCTGGTTTTCAAGTTTGTAAGATGTCATCCTTCCTGGCTTCGCTCCCTTGACCTCGGTGGAGCCTGAGATAACTGCCCTGACTGAATGCCCTTTGGGATGCCAGATACTGGGGGCAGAGATGTGAGAAGCCAGGGAAGGGCCTGGAGAGGAGAGAAGAAACGGTGCATGCAGGTCGTGGCCTGTGGGGCATGTAGCGCCTACCTCAGTGTTTTGTTTAGGCGGCACCGTGTTTAAAAAACAAACACAAAAGTCCTTGGATTCGTTGCCAACTATAGAAATGCGGCCATTTCCCATAAAACTTAAGATTCCCCACTTCTCTTGGGAAAAGGAAGACCTGACAACTCTCAGGCTTTCTGGCAACAATCGGGAGTTGCTGACAGGCACGAGCCAGCCTAGATGTGGGTTCTCCGTCTTGCCACAGTCTCCTTCCGCCAGCTTCACTCACGTCACCTGCTTGGCCTCTGTGGCCATTGGAGTTGGCAGGCTCTAGATGTCTCTGTCGATCCTCATAACAACCCAGTGCAGTGGGTAAAATCCTTTAGACCAAGGGACCACCTGCCCTTAGCTTGTCTTAATTCCACAGCCTTGGACTTTAATGGTTTTCCCTTGGTGCCTGTTGGCTGTGTTTCCCTGGGGTCCCAAGAAGACTAGAAAGAGAAATTGGTAGTGGAAGCAAGCCCCCCCAAATCACACACACATGGGCCAGGAACCCATTCTATGTTTTACACCTGGTCCCATTTAATCGTCAACAATTCCATGAAGCAGGTGCTGTTAGCATCCCCATTTTACAGGTGGGGAAACTGCAGCTGAGAGCTTAAATAACTTGTCCAAATTGACACAGCTACCAATAGAAGAGCTGGAACTGGAACCCAGGCAGGCGGGATCTAGAGTCTGCTCATAACCACACTGCCCATCAGAGGATTTATGGTGTCCAGGGCCCCTTCACTGGGGATTGCTCAGGCCCCACAAACCCCCTCTGAAACAGTGGGTCTGGTCTCAAATCTCTCCCGAGACCCTCGTCACACTTATCTTCCTGAGCCCCACGAAGCTTGAGGGGGTCGCTGCTCCTTGTAACTGGGGTCTTGCCAAAGCCCTCACGTCTCTTCCACCTGCACTGTCTGAATGGCTATTTGTCACATATGGTTATTGTGATTTAAATGAATTGAAATTTAAAAAATTAAAATTGTATTCCCTCAGTTGCACTAACTAGCTTCATTTTAAGGGCTCGTAGGTACATGCAGCTGGTGGCTACTCTGTGAGATGGTGCCGATACAAAACATTAACAGTGTCGCAGGAATGTTCTTTTGTTGGGTGGTGTCAAACCTCTGGGTTTGGAGTCCAGCTTTCGCCAGCTGTTATTAGTACCTTGTGCTCCAATAGCCTATGGGGAGGTAGGTCAGAGCCTGGTACGCAGTAAGTGCTCGATAACTGGCACTTGATTCTCCTCGTCAGCGCCATCTTTCAGGTAAGGTAAGACCTCTAGGAGGCCTCTATATTATCTACTGCTGTGTAGAGTTACCCCCAAACTTAGGGGCTTGTGACGGCATACATATTTCTCCTAGTTTCTGTGGGTTAGGAATTTGGGGGCAGCTTACTTTGGTGGTTCTGGGGTCTCACGAGGTTGTACTTGAAATGTTGGCCAGGGCTGTAGCCACCGGAAAGCTTGACCAGGCTGGAGGGTCCACTTCCAAGGTGGCTCACTCGCATGTCTGGCGCGATGGTGCCGGCTGTTGGCGGCAGGCCTCAGTTCGTCACCATGTGGACCCCCATGGGGCTGATTGAGCGTCCTCATGACCGCACTGGGCTTTTCCCAGAGAGTGATGCAATAGAACCAGGTGGAAGCTACAATGCCTTTTAGGGCCGAGCCGTGGAAGTCACATGCCGTCACTTCTGCAAATCCTACTGGTCACACAGATCAACCCTGCTCCTGAGAGGGGACTACATACGGAAGGGCAGGGGGCAAGACATTAGACGCCACGTTAAAGGCTGGTTACTATAGCCCCACTGCTGGTCAACTCTGCACAGAGGTTAATTTATTGGGAGAGCTAACTCCGAGTGGAACTTGGTGTAATATTATTTCCGAGAATCGGGCAGGGGGGTACAAAGTGTGTTTTGGACAATACCAGGCCATTGCTGTTCATGATCCTGCCAGTCTTCTGAGGCAGCAGAAGTACTGACCCCTGCATGGGGCGTTTCCTTCATGGGTCATGGGAGGGCCTGCAGGCCAAATAGATGTTCCCTTGCCAATAATTTGCTGTGCAGTTTTGGGGAGTGGAAATAGGCAGAATTCTAAGATGGTCCTCACGATCTCTGCCCTCTGGTGTCTGCAACCTATGCAGTCCCTCCCCAGGGGTGTGGGCAGGACCTGTAAATACGATGGCTGTCACTCCCATGATTAGGTTCCATCAGAGAGTAAAAGGTGAAGGCATTTTGCAGATGTAATGAAGGTCACAAACAACTTGATTTCTGAGTTGTTAGCAAAAAGGGAGCTCGTCCTGCGTGGGCCAGACTTGATCAATTGAAAGTCTGATCACTTTAAAAGAGCGGCTGGAACCTTCCTGATAAGAATGATGCTCCCTTGTTGACCCTCAAGAAGCAAGATGCCATGAGTTCTACAGCTATAAAGAAATGAATGTTGCCAACAACTGTGTGAGCTTGGAAGAGAGGACCCTGTGCCTTAAAGGGACGGCAGCCCTGGCTGACATCTTGGTTACAGCCTTGGGAGACCCTGAGAAGAAGACCCAGCTAAGCTGTGCTGGGACTCCTGACCCATGGAAACTGTGAGACAATAAACGTATGTTGCTTTAACTATGTTTGTAGTAATTTGTTACATGACATAGAAAACTAATACTGGAAGGTCACTTACGTCCTCTGGACCATCAAATCCCCGCCTGTGAAATGGAGAGAGATTGCACTATTTGGATTATCTCTACAAGTGTTTCTGGTGTAACAATGACAGCAACTGGCCCATACAAAGTGGTAACTGTGGGCTAGGCCCTGTTGAAAGTGCTTGACATATATCATTTTATTCCTCATGACATCTTATAAAACGAATATTCTTATCCCCATTTACAGAAGGAGAAACCGAGGCACAGAGAGGTTAAATGATTTGAGCTTGCCAAGCTCACCTATTCGTACACACCGCTTTGACTCTAAGATGGCTGTTGTCTGAAAAGTCACCATCAGATCTGCATTCCTTCCTTTTAAGGTGACCCCTCCAAAAATGCATACGAGTAATTAGTATGAGTAGAAGTGTATGTAGAGGCCAGAACAAAACCATCCAAGCCCAGGATACCCCTCCTCAGGGTGAGGTGTTAGTGGTGTACTTTCAGACTCCAGCCCAGGTTGGGGAGGAGAATGTTGTGAATCAGATAGTGGCTTGGGGGTGAGCTTGGCAGAATGGGCCCCACTTCAACACTTTATAAGCCAAGCAAGTACCTAAAGAACTTGATCACAAGGCTGTGCCTTTTCCTAGATCTTTGCCTGTCCCTCCCATCCCCCACTCCCACCCTTGTGCCCCCGTGGCCTGCAGCCAGCCTGTGTTTTTACCACTTCACCACTGAGAGCATTCTTGTGCCACAAACTGCCCCGCCTGCCTTTGTCCCTTGGAGTCTGGAACAGAGCCAGGCCTGACTGGGGGGCCTTTATTGGTAAGTATGGCCAGGGCTGACTGTCACATAACTTATTAGGTGGTGTGTTATTGGTTTCATTTCCCTTTAAGCCACTTCCTCTCTTCCGCGACATCTGCACCATCTATGCCCTGAGCGGCCAGCAAGCATCCTCCCCAGGGAGGAAGGTGGCTGAGAATTTTACCCACTCTGTGGTGATGAGTTTCTCTTTGAGGAAACAAAAGAAACAGATGAGAGAGAAACCCAAAGGTCCATGCTTAAGCCAGAAGACTAGCTTGTTCATAGTGGAACCTCAGGCAGTGTGAGAGCTGGTAAACTTTTAGGGAGGTTTCGGAACAGGGATTTTGAACTTATTCTTACAGTGGGCCCTATCTCCCCCACCCTCACCCCACCCTGTTCCTCACTCCTTGTAACACAACACACACACTCTACCGACCTAGCAGCGAATTAAAGACTGTTAGGTAGAGAATTAAAAGGGCCCCAGACTTCTCATCAGGAGCATAGGATTCAAATCAAGCTCTGCCATCAATCTGCTCAGAGCCTCAGTTTCCTCATCTGTAAAATGAGGGGGGAAATATGGATGAGAGCAAGGATTCTCAGCCCTGGAAGGTTCTGATCCTGAGGGCTTGAAAGGTAAGATTATTTTTATGGACCCTAACAGCTGAACGATAAAGGAAACCTCAATTCTTAGGAAGGGAACAGTGCCACCTGCTGGTTTCACTTTGCACTTGCCATCTCCAAATATTTACCAATACCACGCAATGCAATTTGGTATTTATTGAGCCCCAACTCGGTGTTCAAGGCGTTGTACTGCACCCTCCAGGGAACGCAGCAATGAGCTCCTTTCCACATGAAGCTCATAGACTAGAGGGGACACTTGACACGTACACAAAGCCCTTTGATCCAAGATGGGCAGGAGGACAGATGACAGAGTTGCACGTCTGGGCCTGGGATTTCAGGCCAAACTAGGCTCTTGGCCTCTGGCACTCCTGCCTTGTGGAGTGGCAGAGGAGGTACTTCAGGGCAGGGCTGAATGGGCCCTTGAGCCCCAACTTCCTCTGTGGTGTGCTATGAAACTCCTCTTATTCTCCTTATGAGTGGTTTCCGGCTTCAACATCATCACGGGCAATAAGCCCAAACTCTCCTGAGGCGTGCACTCGTGTTGGGGACATTCCCCGTTCAACTTGTGCCTTGCATTTCTCTGCCAGGATTCACTCTCAGGGGCCATGACGGGCTTTGAACAAGTTTCTCCTTCCTGATCATAGCGGGTTCAGTCTGCTGATGGAGACTTTGGGGAGTCTAAAGAGCAAACCCCTTGGAAAACCTCAGCATCTTCTTTCTCACAGGACTTTCCATGTTCCGGGGGAGGAGTTTTACAGGAAGTGAGCCCCTTTTCAGAGTTCAAGGAAGGGCCCAGGGGAGTGAGAGCCCTGAACCCACATTGCAGACCAGTTCTCTCCATTTGGCACCAGCAGAGGTTGGTACAGGTGGCTGGCACCCGTGATATCTATGTTCCCATTTCTTCTGCTTCCCTATAGAGCACAGGCCAGGCAGAGGGTGGGCAGGCTGGGCAGGGATGGCTTGTGAGTTGGTCCCTGGGCTCCAGGCAGAGTTCTCTCAGCTGGGTTATTGCCCAGTCGATCCCAGGAGTTCTGCCCAGAGTTGTCCTGGGAAAGTTTTGTCCTGTGTCCTGTGTCCTGTGTTTGCATCTGAGCTCGGGGTGCATCTTTGCTTGGGGTAGGGGATATCTAGTAGGGTAACTTATCATAAGATCCAAGAGGTGGCCCCCAGGGCAGGTACAGGGGTCAGGGATGCAAATTGCTTCTGAACCCCATTCCTTCTCTAGAAAGGGTCAAAAGGGTAGACTTTGCTCCATCGCACTTTTAGTTCGTGTGTGTGTGTGTGTGTGTGTGTGTGTGTGTGTGTGTGTGTGAAGTACACTGGGCACCTCCCTTCTTAGGCAGGTGTGTCATACAGATCAGATTCTGCCTTGGATTGGGGTTGCTGCAAGCATGGCGGAGGGATCCCTGATCCTCAAGACTGCATCCTACTGGGCCTGCAAGAGGCGTGCATGGGCGGACGGTCAAGATGACAGGACCTGCCCACTGGCCCAGGCACCTGCCAGCCACCAAAGGTGTGGGCCAGACAGCAAACACAGGCAAGGTTACTATGCCTGGCTCCAGCTATAGGGAATACAAGGAGGGGCAGGTGTGTGTGCTCCAAGCAGGACGTGGTGCTCCAGGTGGGACTTGGTGCTCCAGGAAAGACTCAGTATTCTGCAGGCCATGCCTGGGTGTGTGGAGCTCTGTGTTTTCTCTTCAAAAGGAGACCCAGCAAATGCCCCAGGCCTGGCTCCTCAGAGTGTGTGAAGCTGTATATGAGACACACAGAGAGAAGGAGAGAGACAAAGATGGAGTGATAGGAACACACAAATAGAGAGATCTACAAAGTTACTGAGGGAGACAGACAGAGATTGTTTGATTTAGAGAGTGAAGCAGAGGCAAAGGCAGGGAGAGGGCCACACTCGAGATTGGACGCAAAGACAGCATCACTCAGGTCTTGTCTTCCTAGATGTCAAAGGAGGAGCCAGTGACCCATGTCAGAACCGCAGGGCCGGGTTTCTATGGTGAGGGCCTTCTGCAGCTTGAACGCTGGCCTTTCCTTCCACAACAAAGGGGCAGAGGGCAGGGCCTAGGACTCAGAAAACCTGCCTGGGGCCAGGCCTGGGCGCGCCTAAGTCTGGATGAAAAGGTGGAAGTTGGTACGTGTGAACTCGTGGTGGATGCTTTCTAGAAGTGCATCGGCGTCGGTGTCGGTGGCGGGCTCCGGGAGGCCCGGGGGGCCCGGCCGTGCGCTGTATTCGGGGGTGTAGGTGAAGGAGAAGGCGCTGGGGTAGAAGAGGCTGTCGGCCCGCACCAGGCTCACCGCCACTGTGATAGGTGTACGCAGCCAGCGCCAGTCGCTGCTGAAGGCGGCTACGTCCGGCACCACGCACACCAGAGACCGCGGGCTCCTGAGGGTGGGGCACAGGACTTAGGGCTGCAGTGACATCGGTTAGGGCTGATGACCTGCGCCCCCTCCTCCGCTCCCCAGGACCCACTGCCATACCTGTACATGGTTTCGGCCTCCACGTCCCCGAACCACACCTTGAGCCCCGCGTGGAAGTTCTCACCGTGGAGCTCCAGCGTGGCCACGTCGCCCCCACCACTCAGCTGGGGGAAAGTGGGACCAGGTGGTGTGGGGAAAGATGTGGCCAAGAGGCCTGCTGCCCGCCCTCGCCAGCACTCCCCTCCCACCCCGCAGCCCCAGCGCAGTCAGCCGGACAGCGACCCCCAGCGCCCAGATTCACCTCGAGGGTGCTGATGAGGGGCACTGGGGTGACAGGCTCCAGGGTACACGACAGGCTGGTGCTGAAGGAGAATTCAACCGACTCGGTGCCGATGATAGTCCAGCAAGAGCTGTCGTTGAGCAGAGCCCTGTTCGCCTCCTTGGGGCAGAGGGAGGCCTGGAGGAGAGCGGAGGGGACCGGGCATCCGTTTCCATGGTGGCCACCAGCACCGGGGAGCCCGCATCATGCCCGGGCTTCCTCCTTCCGGGTTCCAATCCCGGGCTTTGCTGTTTACCCGCTCTGTGAGCTTGGACAAAACACTTCAGTTCTCTCAGTTTTAAATAAGTTACCTGGACAAGCTGGCTTCTAAAAGTCTATTCCTTAGGATTCTACAATTTTTTTTTTAAACAAAAAACACTGTGCCCTAACTTTCTACAATTTTAAAATTCTTTGGGAGGCAATATTGGTCAATAATGTTATTTTCTACATATTATGATTTTATCTCTCCACATACGATGATAATCTTCTTTGGGGAGTAGTATTGCTTAATAATAATCATGGTAATAATAATAATTTCCACCTTCTACAATTCTATGTCTTAACATTTTGTGCTTCTAACAGTCTTTGGTCAGTGATACTCAACAGTATTACTTATTTTTATTTACACTCTACAATTTCATATCCCTACATTCTATGGCTCTAATATTCTTTGGGAAGGAATATTGCTCAGTAACATTATTACTATTTTTCCTACATTCTCTGATTCTGTTCTGACCGTCTCTGATTCTAACATTCCATGGGAGGCAGCATTGCTCAGTAAATCGCAGCCATTATGATGATGGTGGCCTTACATTCTGCGGTTCTCTGACTTTCTAGGATGCTTGGTGCTGATATTCTCAGCTTCTCACCTGGAATTGCACCACCTTCTCTGTGGCAAGGCATAAATAGGTGCCACCACCTCCTGGAGGACCACCTGGAAACTGGAATGCACACTTGTGTAGCTGGGAGATGGGCTCATCCACGTCGAGGAGCGCACACTGTTTGGCTACTTTACGAATGATCTACAACAGAAAGGTGGCAGCAAGGTGCCTGGGTGCCCAGAGGCCACCCTCCCAGCAGCTTTCTGCTACTCCAATAGCCATGTGGGCACTGGCAGATTTCCCCCATACCAGCCTTTTACCTCCAACCAACCCCACAAAGCACTGAGTATCCTGGGTGAGAATTGAATAGGTGTCTTCATGCCTCGGGCCCTCACCCTCCAGCCCTGCCCATGTGGGTCATACCTTCTGCATGGATCTGAGTGGGGGCCCTCCCGTCCCATACCATTGGAGGTAGTGTGATGCCTGTGACAGTGCAGACGAGCTGCACCAGGGAGCCATAGCGGACGTAGCCCTCTCGAGGTGGGAAGTCCCCCTGAGAACAGTGGTCATCAGCTGGGGGTGAAAGGAAGGAAGGAGGGTTTCAGGGGGCCCAAGCTTCTGCCCCAAATCCTGCCCTTTTTGCCTCTGGCTCCACCCGACATCACACATGAGTCTTGTGGGTAGGGCTGGCGCATAGGGAGACAGCTAAGGCTGAAGGATGTCATCCTGGAGGGGTCATTTGTGGCCATCCTCACAAATATCTGTGTGTGCCCCCCCCCCCAGGGTTGGGGCTGAGATGAGGGAACCAGCTGGACACTGGAGCCAGAAGAGCTTGGATCAGTCACCAACTCACTGGGACCTTTGGCCCAGTCTTTGGGTTTCAAAGCCTCAGGTCCAAGGGAAGAGTTTGCCTTCCTTGAGGCATTGTGGTGAGGATGAAATAAGCTAATGCATGGGAAGTGCCCAGCCCCGGCCTGCTGATGCGATTACCCAGGTGGAGTGTGAAGGCAGCCCACTGGCGCGCGCTGGCCACGAAGGCCCCATCCTCCACAGAGAGGTAGCGCGTGGAGACCGTCTGGGAGCGCAGGCGGTTGAAGAGGGAGACCTTGGAGCCCGAGGATATGCACACTGTGAGGGGAGGTGGAATCAGTGCTCTGGCCTGGCTTGGTCCCTTGAACTTACTAGACACATCTGAATCCTTGTCTCCTGTTGCCAGTCTGGCTCATATACCCACTGGCCCAGACATACTGGATAGTCATATTTCACAGCTGTTTACCTAGTACCTGCCCGGGTCCTGCTTCTGCATTTTTGCCTGCTCCTCTTTGCTGCCTGGGCATCCTTCCGTTCAACAAGTAGAATTTTATCACGTATTCACTAAGTGCCTACTTTGTGGCAGGCACTGTGCTGGGCACTGGGCACCAAAGGGTGATTTAGGCATAGTTTTACTCTGGAGGAGTTTACTGTCTCAGAGGGGAGATAGGGACATAAACAGAGAATTTCAGTATGATGCGGTAAGGGCTGGGTTAAGGAGGGCTTCCTGGAGGAGGCTTATGCTCTCCACTTGGGAGCATGAGGCAGTTAGGAGTTTCTCAGGGGGCTGCATAAGCAGAGGCCATGTGGTGTGAAACGGCAGTACAGTGTTTCTAAGGCTTGACATCGATCTCTTCCAGTCCATCACATAAGCAGAGCCACAGTTCTGTTTTCTAATTGCAGTTGGACCACCTGGGGAGAAAGCCCTGGGTCATCTCCCTCTGTCCCCTCACAGTGCTAGGCATACTGTAGGTGCTTAATTTATACTTAGCCCAAATTCCCATCCATTGAATAACAGCTAACATTTGTTGTGTGTCAGGTACTACTTTAAATGCTTTATAGGTATTTGCTCATTTGAGTGTCTCAATAACCCTCTGAGGTAAATAATATTATCTCTACTTAAAAGAGCAACTTGTTGAAAATCATGCGACTAGCAAGGGGCAGAGCCAGGATTCAAAGCCAGGCTGCCTGGCTCTAGAGTCTGCACTTACACCCTTCACACTATACCACTTACTCCTCCCCTGGCCCTTTCCTGATACCAAGCGCCAGCCAGGGCCCTGCCTGGATCTGAGACATTCTTCCGGATTTTTAACAGACAGAAGCTAAGTACGGTGTAGCGGCAGGAGCTGGGCTCCAGAGTCATACTGACTCATGTCCAAATCCTGGCTGTCGTCACTTCCTAGATGACCAATCTTAGGCGAGTCACCTGGAATATGATAGGCCCAAATATTTATTGGATGTTCCAAACGTTTGTTCCAAACCTCATTTTCCTCGTCGTTCCTACGACACAGGAACAATGATAGCATCGGCCTCACAGGGCCACCGTGATCATCAAATAGGATGATGCATGTCAATGTGAGCCAGGAAAGCCAGCCCTTCCTTTTCCTATGCCTCCCTCCCACCTCCCAGAGCGGGTAGTGGTGATGGTGTCATTCTTATTCCAGCTCCCTCCCTCCTCCATATGCTCAAAGCTTCTAGCCTGGGATTTGTTACTTGGCACCCAGGACAGTACTTATCTCAAACTGTCTCTGATCAGCTATGCGTGTCTCTCTCCCCTACCAGACTGTGTGTATTCCTCCCGAACAGACACTTGTCCTTGTTTTATGGGGATCCAGCACCTAGCCAGGCATAGAGCAGGCCCTGAATAAATATTTTTAACTGAATTTCTTTTTATTGTTACTTTTAAGCTGTCTTTAGTTTAGCATCTGCCAGACGTTTTGGGGGGGCCCCAATTCACTCCCCTCCCTCAAGTCTGGTATCTGTTCCCTTTCTTCTCTGCCTGTGCTTCTTTAACTTCTCATTCCCAGATCTAAACGGCTGCCGCTCATCCAGACCCCGCCCCTCTCGGCTCCGACTCCACCTCTCCCATTCTGGCCCCACGCCTACCATCCAGGCCTCTCCCCCTCCCAAATCCAGTCGCTGCAAACGTGACAGCTCCTCCCCGCCCTGCCCTGCGACCAGGCCCCGCCCTGCTCACGGTCGGTGTTTTTCAGCGACTGCTTCTTCTGCGAGGGCTTCGATATGACCTTGATGAGGTGGCTGTGGAAGGTGCCCAGCTCCCGGCCGCCTCGTAGCACTAGCTGTAGCACCAGCCGGAAGTGCTTCCTTTTGTCTGCGTCTGAGATGTATAGGGTCTTGGCGCAACCGAATTCCTATACGGGGTTCGCAGGGATGGTGGGGCTGGCTCATCTCAGCCCTCCGCCACCGGATGAACTGACTTCCCCCAGTTATCTGGCGTCCTCCCCGTCGGATGTAACATGAAGCTGCACCATCCAAGCTCTTGGGCGCACCCTCCATGCAGAACCCCGGTCTTCCGGCCTTCATACCTATCTCTTGGCTTCGGCAGGGGAGTAAATGAGCCCTCCTCCCGAAGGGAGAAGAAAGGATGGGAACGTGAATAGGACCCCCTCCCATGCACTCTCACCCTGGAGTCCGGCTGCTCCTCGAAATTCAATTTCTGCGTCTCGGCGGCACTGCCGGACGCGCCGTCCAGTCCCATGTAACCGCAGACCGTGGGCCCCGTCTCCCCTGCCTGGTGGGCTGGAAAGGGATGCAAGGGGTCTCTGGAAAGACTCGGGAAAGGCCTCAAGTGCCCGGAAAGCCTAGTTTTCGCCGCCAGAGGGTGCGGCGAGACTGCGCTTGCGAACCGCCCTGTTTCCCCCGTCTACTACTGCGTAGTTCCCCGACCGGAGGCCACCACAGCCCTGGAGTCCGCCCTCACCTTGGCCCTGAACTGGCTTCACCCTCCAGCCGGGACCTGCGAGGTAGACACAGGGCGGGGGGCAGAAGAACCTGCGGAGACATGTACGCGCTGGACTCGTGTGTCATCTCCACTCGACTGTCTTGTAGGCACCTTAAAGGTAGCAGACATTTCCCACCACCCTCCTCAGGCGTCTCTAAGACTGTGAACCCCATTATCATCTGAATCTTCTTCTGTAGCTCCCCTCATTCAACCCATCAGGAAGTCCTGTCCAGGCCACCTTCAAAACATACCCAGAATCCATTGACTTCTTACTACCTCTACCTTGGCCCCACCTGACATCACTTTTTGCCTGGACCACTGCATTAGCTTTCCTGTTACTGCTTCCTCTCCTCCCCATTCAACCCGCTTTCCCACACAGCAGCCAGATTGCTTTTTTTTTTTTAAAGCATGAGTCAATCATGTTACTTGTCTCCTTAAAATCCTCCAATGGTTTAAATTCAAAGTCCTCACATGAGCTGATCCCTGCTTACCTCTCCAACTTTATTTCCTACGCTCCCTTCCCCTTCTCTAATTCCAGCCGCTCCAACTTCTTTTGTACTGAGAACAGGCCAAGTTGGTACCGCCTCAAGGTCTGCATTTTCTGTTCCTCTTAATTGGAACACACTTTCTGCCAGAGTTCAGATGTTACCCCTCTTTCTGCTCCTGTCACGTTGCACTGTTCTAGTTCCCGTCTAGCTCTCATCACAATCTGGAAGTGTCTCGTTCACTGATTTGTGGGGACGTTATTGTCTGTCTCTTCCACACTGTAGTGAAGATGACATGAGAGCAGGGACTGTATCCGGGTTGTTCAGCTGTATGCCCAGTGCCCAGTGGTGCCCAGGTAGCCTGGCACATGATAAACGCTCAGTGGTTGTTGAATGGACGTATGAATGAATGGATGGATGAATTGAGTGAAATGAATGGGGACTGTAGATTCCCAGGGAGGTTCTGCTAAGTCCAAAGTGGGGACTAGTGGCGGCTGAGGGAAAAGGCCCCCCGATTGGCCAATAGCTGAGCCCTGAGTCCCCGAGCCCTCCCTAGGTTCTAAAAGACACTAAACCGGGAGGGGTCCATAAGGCTGAAAGCCACAGGGATGTAGGAGGGGCCCTTGAGGCACCTACCGCTTCTCATTTCCGTATGATTTCTGGGCCACCTTGGCATGCAGGATCCGCACTGTCTGCTCACACTGCTGCTGCAGGCACCGGCGCACGCCTTCCCTCAGGACTGTGGCGCGTTCTGGGGATGACCTGGGAGGCCCGCAGCAGGGAGAGTCAAGGGCCGAGGTGGATAGGAGCCCGAAGCGCGCGAGTTGAATAAAACGAAGTTCTAGTGCTGCCGCCTCGTGGTCAGGGCGAGGAAGTGTTAGGCAAGGGAGGGGACGCGTGCAAGTCGTGGGCTAAATATTTGGGCTGTGTGGTGCTCAGTGAGGCTTGCACGGAGCCCACCAGGACCACCCAGGCGCCACCCCGCGGGTCTGGCTCCACGCCCATTGCAGCCTGGAGCACTGGGGAGAGGCCCTAGCGGCACAAAGGCCGCACTTGTGTCGGCCTTGGGAAGCAGGCAGAGTATGTGAGGGTGCATGGCTTCCCTGAACTCTAAGGGGACCGACCCCTGTGAAGTCTTGATGCCAACGGGAGAAGCGCCTTTGCTGAAACCCCGGACAAGAGTGCTCTCCCTTGCCTGCCCGCAGATGCCTGCAAACATGGAAGGGCCCCCCAACCCTGTCCTCGGGGTCCTGGGGGAAACATTTGAGTTTTTCCGGGGTCAAAGCAACACTCCCTCCCCACTTTCTCTTAAGAGAAGGGGCCTGTTGCTGTCTCAGCTTTCCGTCTTCCCTTGATCACATGGTCTCCATCGGCCCTGTGAAGTGGGTCGGTCAGAGCCCAAGGGCCTGATGGCTTCTCAGCCTGGGAGTTTTGATGGGTGGGGGCGGGTTGGGCCCAAGACTTAAGCAATTACAGAATCCATGATGGCAGAGATTTGAGGGACCACCAGGAGGGACCGGGGAGAGCCAGGGTCCGGGGAGAGCCTGAGGCTGTCCCTCAGAATCCTTTACCCTTTTCGCAGGAGCAGTGTCCGGGGCCTCTCCTCACTCTAGGAGGGGGCAGCGGAGGGCAATAGCCGGGCCGCGCCCTCGGAAGCGGGGCCAGGCAGCCGGCTGCCCAGCCAGGTCCCGCTCCGCCCCTTGGGGCTCTCCTTGGGGAAGTGGCTCGGAGGCCTCCAACGCATTCCGGCTGCGGAGTGGGTAGCTGCCCAGCCTCCCGCTGTACCGAATTCCGGCCCTGCAGCCGGCGTCCGCAGCTCCCAGGGTGGCTGGAGCAGGGGGCGCCGCGCTGGCCCCGCCCCGGCCCGCAGAGAAAGGGGGATCGCCCTTCCAGTGGGAGGGGTCGCAGCCCGCGCTCCCCCTCCCCACCCTTCCAGCCCGGGTTAAATGCGGCCGCCGCCTCCGCTCGCTCCAGCTGCCTGGCAGTCCCCATCTCCGGCGCGCAGCCTGCGCCGTTACCTGCTCCAACTGCCTGGGAGGCTCCGCCCGTCGGCTCCGCTCTGCGGCCGCGCCTCCGAGTTGTCCGGCAGGCTCAGGTGAGTCAAAGGGCCTGGGGGCGCTGAGGGGTCTGTGGGGGAGCAGGCGGCCAGCCCGACCAGGCGACCGTACTTAACCGCGCTGTACCACCTAGGGTGTCCGCATCTGACCTGCAGTGCCCTTCCCCACTTCTGTGGGGTCCTTTCCAAGTTGAACTCCCACCAGCAAGGTCGCCAAAATGGGGAAGGGACGTTTCCCCTAATCGCCTCCCTCCAAGAACCCCCAGGACCTCAAGGTGTTCACTCTTCAGCCAAATATTGAGGAATTACTCACAGAATTCGCCTCCCTTGCGAGCCCACTTTCCTCCTAAGGGCATTTCCAAATCTATCATTTTAACGCAAGGATTGATTAACCCCTCCTAGGAGCTCTGGGTTCTAGCGTCAGCCTAGTCACCACGTTGCTGTGTGACCTTGAGCGAGACACTACCCTTTCTGGACTTAGTATCTTCCTCCGTAGAATGAAGGGGTTGGAGAGGTGATGAACTTTGAGGCAGCTGCTAGGCGAGCTGTTGGCTGAGGCAAAGAGCAGGATAAGGGGGACCTTAATCAAGATTTGGGGGCCCAGAGGCTTCTGCAGGTAGGAAAGAATGGGAGATGGCAAAGGCCCCTCGTGCGTTTACCCGCGTGCTCACCAGGGGTGCTGGCCTCCGCTATGGCCCAAAGCTAGAGACAGCATTCCACACCCTCCCACCTCCAGCAGCTGGCACATCTGGCTTAGTCACCCTCCCACGACGGACTCTGCCAGAGGGATTTTTGTTCCTCTCTACTGGGCCTGAAAGGCGAAGACGGAGAAGACCCGGGACGGGAAGGCCGCCTAGAGTGAGCGGCAGGCACCCGAACTTGCGCAGAATAGGCCCATTCACGGAACTGGGGGGAAGGGGCGGGGCTGCGGTTGGGTTAGGGGCAGCTGGCCCCCTCTGCGAAGAGTCAGCGACAGAAAAATGGCTAACGCAGCTTCGGCATGGGGTGCAGGAGGTGGGGTGAGATAGGGAACAGGGGGAGTGAATGGGAGGAAAAGAGGTTCAGAGGCACCTAGGCGCTAGGTTGTCAGGCAGCTCGAAAGGGAGAAACGGAGCCAGGAGTCCCAGGTTCCTTTGCAGCTCAGCGAGCCGCCTTCTTGGGCCTCACTTTTCCCATCTGTACAATGGGAATCTTTCGCGATTCTCAAGGGTCATCGAGGGCCTCGGGAGGGTGAGCGCTCACCTGCTGCCCCCACCGGGTCCATGGCCGCGCTGCGAAGCCTCCGCCGCTCACTCACCACCCTCTGCGTTTACTGCCGCTGTCCCAGGAACCCGGCGCACTCCGGCTCCTGGGCCCTCCTCGAGCCGGATATATCCTGCCCAGGCCTTATCTTCAAGGCCCCCGGGGCTCCCGGCCCGCTGTTTGCTCTGGGCAAGGGCACCTGCTGGGCAGATGTGGGCTTCCCACGGCCCCTTAGCCAACACA